AGGGGCCGGGCCGGGCCGGGGCGCCCCGCGACCTCCACGCGCGCCTGTGTTTCAGCTCCGCCGAGCACCTGGGCCGCCGCCACCCGCCGACCATGATCCCGGTGCGCCTGGCGTCTCGGCTGCTCAGGGTTGTGCCCCGGGCAGGTAAGAGGCCCCGTCGGGGCGGAGGAGCGGGTGCACAGCCGGGGCCGGGGCCTGGCCGCACCAGCTGCCCCGAAGCATCCAAGCCTCACCAAGGGGGGCCTGCCCCCCACCCCACCCCCAGCGTCAGCAGGGGTCCAGGCCAGGAGTGAGCGCAGGTCACCCCAGTCCCGTCGTGTCCAGTCGCCCCGCTCAGGTGGAGCCCTGCGGGTGGTAACTGCCGTCGTGTTTCCTGCAGGCCTCAGTCGGCCCCGGCCTGTCTCGGGGGTGCTGGGCAGCCGTGTCTGCGCGCCCCGGTACAGCACGCAGCCCGCAGGCCCGAGTGGCGTTACCATCCTCCCTGGCAAGGGGTTCCAGGGGGAGCTCGAGGAGATGCTGGTGCCCAGGAAGATGTCCGTCAGCCCCCTGGAGAGCTGGCTAACCGCCCACTACCTCCTGCCCAGACTGGATGCTGCGGCCCCGGGGACTGTGGCTCCAGCCCAGCTCTACGAGTGTCCGCCTAGCCCGGCGGGGGAAGGGGCCGAGCAGGAGGAGGAAAGGGTCCAGGATGCGCCCCGGATGCAGTGTAAAAACGTGCTGAAGATCCGGCGGCGGAAGATGAACCATCATAAGTACCGCAAGCTGGTCAAGAGGACCCGATTCCTGCGGCGGAAGGTCCGGGAAGGACGCCTGAAGCGGAAGCAGGTACATGCGAGCCCCGGGCCGGAGTGGGACAAAGTGGCTGAGTGCAGGGCTGCGCCACAGACGGTGAGCGGTGCCTCCCTCTGCCCTCGCAGATCAAGTTCGAGAGAGACCTGAGGCGCATCTGGCTGAAGGCGGGTCTGAAGGAGGCCCCTGCAGGCTGGCAGACCCCCAAGATCTACCTGAAGAACAAATGAGCTTAGAATGCTGCTCCCATGCTGCTGCTGTTCGTTGTAATAAACATGCACAGAGCTCAGTCCTTCCTGCCGCCTGGGCCCTCTTCTGCCTGGTGTGAGCTACCTTGGGATCGAGGCTGATGCCAGCCTCTGGGTGTTAGAGGAGGCACCACACCCTGGGTGGCAGATCAGCAGTCCCTTCCCCTAGCTGGCCTCGTCTTGGTGCTGGGCCTGCAGGAAAGACAGCCTCCCTGTTGATGGACGGATGCCGTGGGGATAGCTGTGCACAGAGGCCAAGCCCTGCCTGTGGGGCACTTATGTAACGGTCCACTGGGGGGAGGCAGCCTCTTGGTGGTCACACAGATGGCAAAAGTGCCACGGACGACAAACATGGGGCGTCAGGGAGCGCCCAGGCTGAAGTGTATGTGTGGGGGCTCAGGCAGGGCCTCAGTGGAGAGACTGGGAGGGGAGGCAGGAAAGGCCCCCTTGTCCCCAGAGAAGACAGTCAGTGCCCTGCAGGCTTCAAGGACCTGGGTGTTGAGTGACCTCCTGAGTGGCCCTGCTCAGCTGGGGTTGGGGACCTCTGGCCTGCTGTGGGCTCCTTGTTCTCTGCCACTTCCTGCGGCCTGAGAGGGGGTGGCCTGGAGGGTGTGCTCTGGCAGGTTCAGGGTTGCAGCTGGCTGAGGAAGGTGCCCTTCGTGGAGTCACACAAGCCCTGGAGCCTAAGTGTGAGCCAGCAGTCCCCAGTGACTCCCCCAGTGACTCCGGTTCCTTTTGGGTGGAGATGGGGAATGCATTGTCCCTAATAGCGGGGGCCTGGAGAGGCCTGGGGGCCTGCATGGGCTTGAGGTGAGGGCTGGATTGAGGAAGGGAGGCTGGTTCCCACCCTCAGCACCTGCTCTGCTTCCTGATGTCTGAGCGAAAGGGGAGGAAACCAGTGCATCCTTCCTGAGCTGCCTCCTCTCCCTCGCCCACGAAGGGCCACACCACTTCCCATGGGGCCGTGGGACTTCTTGTCTGGTCACAGGAATGAATGCAGGGCCTGGGCCTGAGTTCCCTGTGGAGGAGGCAGTCTTGGAGAGGCTTGAGCTCTGGGTTCCCAGCAGTTTTCCTGGAATGGAACAGACCAGGCTGTGCTGATAAGTCACGTTGCTTCAGGGACCAGGTGGGAAAGCAGGCTTCTGATAGCTGGACCAGTTGGGACATGGGCCCCTGTAGGGCCTGCACTCACCAGCCGAGGAAGCTGGTCGCGGCCTGGAGGGACCTGGGGCCGTTGAGGGCACAGGCCTGCTTCTGCTGGTGGCCGCAAGGGGGCAGCAGTCAGGTCTGGCAGCCCTGGGGTCTGGGCTGAGGACCTGGAGGCGCAGAGCACCCTGCTAGCTCCTGAGAGGGCCCCCGCTGGGGTCACGGACATCCTTTCGAGGTCTTGGTTTCCCCAACTGTGGGTGGCCTGATGTCCCAGGGCCAGGGCCTCAGTGGTGGAGCCGCCCCGGGGTGGAATGGACCATGCCTTCCAGGTGCCAAGTGTGGCCTCAGCTCCGCAGGGCCTCTGCTGAGGTAGCCGCCCCGTGGCTCGCCCGCCCCACCCTTCCCCGGCTGGTGGGAGGAGAAACCTGCTCAGTTGTTAGAGCTTTTTGGAGACAAAGCCTCTGTTGGGAGCTGGGCTGTGCGGGGAGTTCTGGGGGCGCAGCTGCCAGCCTGTGTGCCTGGGGCTGGCAGAGCACCATGGGGCCCACCTGCTGCAGCCTCCATCCTGGGGCGGGAGCCAGCTGGTCAGGCTGCCCATGTCCTCCAGGCCACTTGGCCTCACGATTCCTTCAGGTCACACCTGGGGACATCTTGGTTGTGGCAGTGGAGGCACAGTGGGTAGGGGGCAGGGATGTGCTACATGTCCTGCTGTGCACCAGACAGGGTCCCCCCCCCCATAATTAGCCCTGAGCCCAGACCCCTGGTCCAGATGTCACTTCGCTGGCCCTGTCAGGGCAGCTCCAGGGCCTGCCCAGCCTCCTGTCCTGAGGGCCTGAACCCCAGCAGCCCTCTCCCTGCCCCTGCTGGGTGGCGTGTGCCCAGCTCCTGCTGCCTGTGGCTTGGATGCCTTTGGGCCCCAACCACGAACTCCGGAGGCAGTTCTGGGTTTTATTTTTATCTCTGCAGCCCTTCCCTCTTCCCTGTGGAGCCTCCATCCTGCCCCCAGGCTGTGGGAAGTGCAGCCCCTTCTCCCTGTAGTCTCCCCTGTTCTGACCCTAGGTGTCCCCCGAGCGAGAGTGCAGAGGGGGGTGAGGGGGGAGCAGTGGGGGCCTACAGGCTGCCTGCGTGGTGTGGTCCTGCCTGTGGCCTGCCCCTGGCCCCAGTCTCCCTTTGCAGGTGCCTAGGGCTTGAGTTCCAGTCGGGAGGCCACAGCTGATGGGGGTGGTCTGGGGACCTTGCTCCATGCCCAGGGCACAGCCTGTGTCCTCTGGGCTGGACGTTCCCACCAATGTGGCAGGCCAAGGAAGGAGCCGGGCAGGCTCGGGCCCTGTGGGAGGACGCTCGTGCTGGACACTGGGTCCTGGTAAGGGCCATGCTCGGGCAGACACACGAGCGTCGCTGTGGGCCCATGCTGTGGACAACGGAGCTCCTCCCTTTGAGGGAGACAGGATGTCGGCTGGAGCTCGAGCCAAGGCTGGAGAAAGAAGCCTGCTCCCCGGGCCTACCCACGGTCCCTCACGGGAAGGACATCGGGCCCTGGGGGGGCGGAATTCCTCTCCAGGGCTGAGTTTTGCAAAAAGCCCTTGAGCCACAGCCCCCAGGATGGGCCGAGAAGTCCAGACCTGGGTGTGGAGTTAGCCTCCAGGTGGGGCAGAGGGTGGCAGCCCTGGGCCTGGCTGGGCACCCAGAGGCCAGCCGGTGCTCCTCTGGTTGTATGGCCGGGATGCTTCCTGAGCCTGTTGGTTAACTGTCCCTGTCCTACTGGGAACCAGACGCAATCACTGTGATTATAACGTCTGCAGTGTGATGGAGCTGCCATCTGATGGTGTGGGCAACACCGAGAACCCGAGGATTCAGAGGGAAGGAAGTTGCACTTTTAACGCCCAAGGAGCCTTCACCCTGTAAGAAAGGCCATTTTCTCACAGAATCTACAGAAGAAGGAGGGAGGGAGGGAGGGAGGATGGTGGGTGGTCCTCGGGTGAGATGTGAAGTCCTGGGGAGGGCGAGGATTGCCCAGGAGACCGCACCTCCCGTAGCTGGACTCCGGTGTTTAAGTCAGGCTGGCTGGGAAGGGTGGACTTTCACAATTTACGGTAGAAACTGTCTAGATAACATGTATTTAAATATGTCTTCATTGATTTCAGAGAGAGGAAGGGAGAGGGAGAGAAACATCTATGATGAGAGTCACTGATCGGCTGCTTCCCGCGTACCCCAGGCTGGGGTCGAGCCCACAACCGGGGCATGTGCCCTGACCAGGAATCGAACCCTGATCTCCTGGATCCTAGGTCGACGCTCAACCTCTGAGCCACGCTGGCCGGGCTAGATAGATAATGTTTTTAACCAACATGAATCCTTGGGCTAATCAGCCTGGTTTCATACTTTGTTTGTTGTTAGTACCTGAGGATTCTCCCCCCTTGATTTTTAGAGAGAGGAAGGGAGGGAGGGGGAGAGAGGAACATCCAGGTGAGGGAGACATCGACTGGGTGCCTCCCACATGCCCCCCAACCGGGCCTGGGCTGGGGATCAAACCCACGGCCTTCGGGTGCTTGGGGCAGCGCTCTAACCACTGCGCCTCCAGCCAGGGCTGGTTCCATTCTTTTGATTTAAAACAACTGTGTAACCTGCCGAGCAGCTCAGTTGTTTTTACACCAAGATTGTGGGTTTGCCCCCGGTCAGGGCAGCCAGTGAAGGCGTCCGTAAGTGGGACGCAGGTCGACGTGTTGTTTCCTCTCAATAAGTGAAAATTCAAACAACTATTACCCTTCTCGGAGTTTATGACGGTGTAAAAGATAACGTGACCTGATCTGGTATTACAGCTTCTGGGAGAATTAGACTGATTTACTTATCTTAAGTTAATAAAGCTTAATTAAACTCCTAAATGTCCTAGTCTGGCTTTATGGGTCAGGTAAGTCCCCCCCCAAAATACTTTAAGGTCTTATAAATAAATGTTAATGTATATGTGTAACTATTTCAATTAAAATAACCAATAAAACAACTAATGTCTTTATAAAGGACCTGTTGTCATAAACCTCAGAGCCCCGCGTTGCTTGCCTGCCATTGTTCGCTTACCCCCCCCCCGTGGCGTATCATCTGTGCAGATGTCACAGCCCCCCCTTCACTGTCCCCGAGCCCCTTGACGCTTCTCCACCAAAACCTGGGGTCTGTGTCCCTCCCTTGACCTGGGCTGTGACCTGCTCTGGCCAGTAGACTGGAGCGAGGCCGCCGAGCTGGCCTTTCCCGCTGGCGCGTCCACCTGTGGGAGCAGGAAGCGGGGCCTGGACCGCCGAGCGAGGTCATGGGGGGGGCCTGGACCGAGAGGCCCAGCCGCAGGGTAAAGCCGCCCGGGCCCAGCAGCCCGAGCCGAGCCACCGGAGCCTTTCCCACTGCCCTCGGAGCCCTGCCCGACCCCTGACCCGCGGGTCGCAGGGCGGAAGGTGACCCGACCCGGCTAGGCGGTGCCTGAGCGGCTGGGACGCCTCCAGTCACGGTCCCGCTTCATCTGCACGAGTGAGTGGGATTCCCCTCGGCGTCTCGGCGCGGACTCTGCCCCCCGACGCCGGGTCGCTCACTGCTGGTCCCTCCTTCCTGCGGGCTCGCAGGCGCTGCAGGCCAGCCTGCCCCCCAGGCCCTAAGGGAGCCGCCTGCCCAGGACGGGCGGGTGAGCTCGGCGCCTCCTCGGGTGACGGGAGCCCGCATGCGGACTGGCCCGTGCGCCCACGTGTGTAACCGTTGCCACAAGCAGCCGTCTGTTCACAGTGTGCCAGGCGTGGGCTCACACCCGTGGCTCCAGCGGGGGCCCGGGCGGCACTGGGCCCGTCCAGCCCCACTCACCCGGAGCCTCTCCCCCGACACTGAGAAAGGGGCTCCCACCATCTCGCACCCGCCCGCTTCGGCGTCC